TGGGTAATAGTGGACCGTTTTTCGAAGATGGCACACTACATCCCTCTTCCTACCCTCAATAAAACGGAAGATTTGGCTAAGCTGTTCTTGAAGGAAGTTTGGAGACTCCATGGGTTACCTGATGACATGATATCGGACTGAGATAGCAGGTTCATCTCTCACTTTTGGCAATCTCTCATGAGTCTCCTCAATGTGAAGCTGAAAATGTCCACATCTTTCCACCCCCAAATGGACGGTCAAACAGAAAGGGTTAACCAGACCCTAGAACATTACTTGCGAAGTTATTGTTTATATCAACAGGATGACTGGGCAGAACTCTTGCCTTTGGCAGAGTATGCATATAACTCGGCGGTCTCTGAGTCTACCAAAGTATCGGCTTTCTATGCCAACTATGGTTATGAACTGTTACGGGCATGCCAAGTATTTATGGGAGTAAGAGAAAAGACCAGTAGATACCCCAATACCCTCTGTACGCTAATGATAACTCTGGACCACACCCGCGGGGTGTGGTGCGACCAATATACGACCAAAACACGGAGTCATAAAAAACACGTTTTCGACCCCAATAATAACCCCCGGAGCGTCAAACCGCCGGAGGGGTGTGCTTTGGTACCGGTGGATATATGAGGGACAGCTGGAAGCAATCGGATCGAAGATCGGATCACTCGGAGTGAATCGGCGCAAGCTACCAGCCGACCGAGTACCTATCGGCGGTACCTGTGGGCATGAGAGAACTCTGCTATGTGGGAAAGCGATGTGGGAAGAGGCCTGAGTAGGTAGCCTTGTCGTCCGAGACCTACGAGTAGCCGACGCTGACGATTATCCACCAGACGGCCGATGGAGAGGAAATATCGACAGGGAAACGTGCATCAGAATGGGTAAATAGGCTGAGGGGTTTCAGCGGGCTTAGGAGTTTGGGTTACGGACTTAGGAGTTAAATGTCTTGGTTGTTTCTCAGGGTCTCGTGCAGGCCCCGAGGGTATTCTGTATTATTAGTAGACTGGGTCCTCGAGACATAAGCGAGGGATATAAATACTGTGTCATTCACTGACTAGCCAAACCATCATCGGCGAAATCAGAGTCTTAACAATATAAATCGTTGATACGCGAGTTACAACTTTATTTGACTATACTTTTGAAACACTTTACTCTATTGTGACTTCGAACTCTACCTGAACTATTACGTCGAAGACGGTCAAACATCATACGCTAACTCTAGTGAATCTTTGTTGATAACGTAGCTCGCGGGGCCCGTATCGGATCAAGGAGAATCATACTCGACGTTGACTGAAGAGACCTTGGAGACTTCTACCTTTGTAGCTGTTAGCCGAACTCTGAGCTCTGCGTAGTGTACTCTTGTGGTCTGGTACGCATCCCTCACAGTATATTGTTACTCACAAGTTCACTTGGAGTAACGAAGTTACCTCAAAAAAAAAAGAAACTATCATCATTATCCCCTATTACAATGACTACCCGAAGGGATAATTATTTCATAGATACCTCGGCCGTAACTGAGGAGGCCGGGGAAGATTCTATGGTAATATCGAGGGCTGGTAGCCCAGATCCCCTACTCCAGGGAGGACCCTCTACACAAACTAGGCAATCGAGTAAACGCTCTGCTCAAGCCCAGTTTACGAGGAGTATGCAGGAGTTTTTGGATACCCATGAGGCACAAATGAGGTATCTTGGTACAGCTGGACAGGCCATTTGGCAGCAGCTACAAAACCTCCAGGAACAAGTGCAAGGGAGTGGGCAAATCCTGGATAAAAAAGCACGGCAAGAAGCCATTGCCCAAAAGCAACATCTCGAATCGCTCTTCGAGCTCGTGGCGAATGTTCGACAAGTACAAGAAGCTACACGAGCCGCCGACCATGAGGTTCTGGAACGAAATCATCAAAATACCCAGAACCAGTTGTTGGAGGCGGAACGACAACTGAGGACCGTACAAGAGGAGCGAGAGCAGGAAAAAAGGGCAAAACGGGAGCTGTTTGCGCAATTCAAGCAGTCCGATGATATAAGAAACCAACGGATAGCCGAGATGGAGGAACGACTACGACAACATTTGTCGGTAGCACCCTCCATGGCTAGTGCTCCCTTAGATCCTAATGCACCCCAAACGGTTCCTGTTGGCAATGGCAAGAACCCCCAACATGCTGGCCCCCAAACATCAGGGAACGGCAAGCAACCAGAAGGAGCTGGCCCAGTAGGTGGAAATGGAGGTAAGCAACCGGAGGACGCCGGTCCAGTACAGGGAAATAGTGGAAGGCGACCGGTAGGAGCTGCCCCAGTCGGAGGAAATGGTGGAAATCAACCTCCCCGGAACCCACCAAGAGGAAACCTTGGGGGAGACCCAGAACCTTCCGACGATGATGATGATGATAATAGCGAGTGGTCGCACGGAAGGAAGAACTGGAGGGTGAAACGAGGTGGGAACCGGAATTCGGCGCCGCCTGAAGACGAAGATATGGTGGACTCACTCGCCAAAATACCCTTCGAGTTTGACAATGCCCGGAAACACAACCTGCGACATTGGCTTATGGAGTGTGAGATCTACTTCCTACAGAGGCCAAATAAGTTCCGGAAGGAGAGGAACCAGGTACTGTTTGCCGGAACGTATACGAGTGGGTTAGCAAAGGAATGGTTCATGGAATACGTCGAAACCAAACTGTTAGGCCCGGACAGGGCAGACTATGCCACTTGGGCTCGGTTCCGTCAGGAAGTCATGAAACGCTTCCTAAGCACTCAGGAAGCTATGGAAAATGCGATGAAGATGCAGCAGTTTAAGTACTCTGCTAACATCGGTGACTACCTAACGAGGATGGAGATAATGAACCAGCATGCTCAGATGAAAGGGGCATCCTACCGCACCGCTTTGCTCCAAGGGCTACCGAATGAAATCCGGGAGCGCCACTCGCGGTTCGATCCAACCGAGGACGATTCCGAGTATACCCAGCAACTGGAACGAGCTGGCAAGGCTCACGAGTCTTACCAAGAGCAAATGAAGATGTTGGGGAAAGCGGAGTCGCGAGGAAGGGAGTCGAATAATGGTGGAAACTCGCGGCAGAAGGAAAAGGGGTTTAAGATTAAAGGGAGGGCTCAGACTGAGGAGAAAGAAAAAGGACAAGATAAAAAGAGCACCAGCAAGAACAAGTCGGGGAATAAGCCAATATACCACGACTACGACGAAGCCACCAAAGGAGTTCCACAGCCGGTCCGAGACCAGCGAAAGACCGATGGTGTCTGCGTACGATGTGGCCGAAAGGGTCATCTTTGGAAATGGTGTCGTTCAGATGCTAATAGCAGTGCATCTATCTCCTCTTTCTCCCGAAAGCGTACCCGCGATGACGATGGCGACCACGAAATGGAACCACCGGAACCCCAACCTCAGAGAAAGCGAATGAGGCACCGTGCCAAGAAGCCGGCTGCTACGGCTGCCGCGGAATACACCAGTGGGCAAGCGTTTGTGCGAGAACGCGGATCGGAATCTGAGATGGATTTCGATATGGGTTTTTGTTAGGGGACTCTGATGAGTCAGGTCAGGAGTATCCCCAGATTGCTATGTTATCACTGACGGAAAACAACAAAAAAAATATGAAAAGAAAAAGGCAGGAGGGGAGAGCGTCCCCACCGGAGAAAAAACAGAAAATTTTGGAGGAACCTATTCATGGTCCTCGACCTATCGTTAATCAGTTTATATGTTTTGCGGAAAAATGTTTACCTTGTAAGGTGTTGTTGGATACTGGTGCAACTGGTCCTGTTTTGTCTGCTGTTTTTGTTGATAGTTTTGAGGTCCCGAAGGTGAAACGAGACGTCCCGGCCCGGGTATTTGGATTTACGGGAGAAGTTATGAAGGGCACGGGACACGCCTTTACACAACCATTAATTATAATGTCAAGGGGACATCAAACACAGTTATCATTCGAGATAGCCCCTCTCCCACTTGGCATCGATGCAATACTACCGAACTGGTGGTTGAAAGAACACAAGCCGGTTATAGGGGCAAATGGGGAAGTTTCCTACGATGGTGAGAACTGCAAGAGTCGATGCTTCACTGACAAGGAACCTCAAATAGAGATGGACGAGGGTGTACTGGACGATCCGGAGGCCCAATTCATCGGTAACATCTGTCTATTGGAAGATGAATCGGTTAACCTCCGCGAAACTCTTCCCTCTTGGCTCCATAAGTTCCTTAAAGTCTTCCTACCGTCGGAAGCAGATAAACTACCACCGCATCGATCTTACGACCATGCGATAGACCTTGAACCAGGGAAGCAACCACCATGGGGACCCGTTTACTCCCTATCCGAAGTCGAGCTGAAGGTGCTTCGAGAGTACCTGGACAAAATGTTGCGATTGGGAAAGATTAGGCCGAGCAAATCACCGGCAGGAGCCCCAATCCTATTTGTGAAAAAGAAGGACGGTAGTCTGCGACTCTGCGTTGACTACCGTGGACTTAACCGTGTGTCCATCAAGAACAGGTATCCGTTACCGCTTATGGACGAGCTGCGAGACCGAGTGGCAGGCGCGGTTATCTTCTCGAAGATTGACCTGAAGGAAGGTTATAACCTCATCAGGATCAAAGACGGCGACGAGTGGAAGACAGCCTTCCGTACGCGGTACGGGCATTTTGAGTACCTCGTCATGCCTTTTGGGCTGGCAAATGCGCCGGCGACCTTCCAGAACATGATGAATGATGCGCTGAGGGAATTCCTGGATCAAGGTGTAGTAGTATACCTTGATGATATCCTAATATATAGCAAGTCTCAAGAGGAACACCGGGAGCTGGTCGGCAAAGTACTTAGTAGGTTAGAAGAATACAACCTAGTCGCCAACCCGAAGAAATCGTTCTTCGAGCTCACTGAAATCGAATTCCTCGGATATATCCTTGCCCCAGCAGGCGTCACCATGGCACTGGATAAGGTCATGTCTGTTACGAATTGGCAAGCCCCGCGCAGCGTTAAGGAAGTACAGATCTTCATGGGCTTTGCCAACTTCTACAGAAGATTTATCCACAATTTCTCCGGGCCTTCAAAAAACTCAAAACCCTATTTACGTCTGCGCCGATCTTGGTCCACTTCTCTCCAGATCGCCAGACTATCGTGGAAACGGACGCAAGTGATTTTGCTATCGCCGCAATTCTATCCCAGGTTATTGACGGAAAGACTCACCCTGTTGCCTTCTATTCTCGAAAGCTTAACCCAGCGGAACTCAACTACGACGTCTGGGATAAAGAGATGCTAGGAATTGTGTCAGCCTTCAAGCAATGGCGTCACTACCTCGAAGGACCTAGCCGAACGGTCCTCGTCTATACGGATCACAAGAACTTGGAATATTTCTCAACAACCAAGGTTCTTAACCGACGACAGGCAAGGTGGGCTGAGTCTTTGGCGGAATTTGACTTTAAGATTATTTACCGCCCGGGAACCAAAAATGGGAAGGCAGATGCACTATCGCGACGGCCGGAGTACCGTCCTGAAGGGGGAGGCACGCTTGGGAAACAGCCAATAGACAGGTTCTTCAAGCCCGGACAGTTGGCGGAAGAAGAGTTTGTGGTATCAGCGGTGTCGCTTGCCTCTAAGGGGGTGATTGACTGGTCTAAGAATTTTCTGGATCATGTCAGGCAGGCGGCATCGGGAGACCCGACATGGGTAGGATTGAAAGAGAGAGTTGAGCAGGGAGAGAAGCTAGGGGAAATGAAGGATATCGCTGAGAAAGACGGGCTACTCTTCTATAAGAACCGACTCTATATTCCGGCAGACGACCGCATCAAGATCCGAATTGCACAGTCAGAACACGATTCAAAGGTGGCAGGACACTTTGGACAAGACAAAACTTTGGAACTCATCACGCGCAACTTCTATTGGCCAAAAATGAACGAGTGGATTGATGATTACGTTCGGTCATATGACGAGTGCCAACGCAACAAACCCAGCCGCCACAAGAAATACGGTGCGCTTCTACCATTGTCCACGCCACATTCTGTCTGGCAATCGATATCAATGGACTTCATCGTGCAGTTACCGGAATCAAAGGGATACAACCAAATCTGGGTAGTAGTCGATAGGTTCTCGAAGATGTCGCACTTCATTCCCCTAGTAGCAGAAACGACCGCGCAGGATTTAGCGAAGATATTCCTCGGTCAAATCTGGCGACTCCATGGGCTGCCTCTTGATATAGTTTCCGACAGAGACGCCAAGTTTACTTCAAGCTTTTGGGCATCCCTTATGGAATTATTGGACGTGAGGATAAGAATGAGTACGGCTTTCCACCCTCAGACCGATGGGCAAACAGAGCGGGTCAACCAAACCCTCGAGCACTACTTACGAGCGTTCTGTAACTACGAGCAAGATGATTGGGCGGAGCTACTCCCGTTGGCGGAGTATGCTTACAACAACTCGGGTACCACCGCCACGGGTCAATCTCCGTTCTATACCAATTACGGTTACAACCCAAGAACCAACTGGCCGACGGAAGCCGAAGTGGTCAACCCAACCAGTGACCTGTACGCTCACTTCATCCGAGGAGTTCATGATTCTGCTCTTGCTCGCTTAACAGACACCAGGGAGAAAATGGGAAAATATTATGATCGGAAAAGGGACGAATCGCCTAACTTCAAGGTGGGAGACATGGTTATGCTTAACGCGGCCAATATCAAGACACGCCGTTCGACTAAGAAACTCGATCACAAGAAACTCGGCCCGTTTAAAATCATCCGACTAGCCGGAAAACGAGCCTGCGAACTGGAACTGCCACCACAAGTCAAAATCCATAATGTGTTCCATATTGAACTATTGGAACATTACCGACAGAGCAGTATCCCAGGCCGCGAACAACGTCCCCCGACTCCCGAAGATGTTGATAATGAAGGAGAGGTACTGTATGAAGTGGAAAGTATTGTGGGAAGCCGGAAGAGCAGAAGAGGATTAGTGGAATATTTGGTGAAATGGCGGGGCTATTCGATGAGTGACTGCACGTACCAAGTCATGGACGTTATGAATGAGGAGGTACTTGATTTAGTCCGCGACTTTCATCGAAGAAACCCCAAGGCCGTGAAGGACCAACGCCTGAGACTATAAGAGGTACCCTACGGGGCTAAGTCCTTCCCCTCCACAGACACCGAGGGTGATATGTGGAGCAGGTTTACTGGAACCATAGTCTGTCAGAAGATGTCCCGAGACGTGACACCCTGGAAGGGGGGTAAGCTGTTACGGGCATGCCAAGTATTTATGGGAGTAAGAGAAAAGACCAGTAGATACCCCAATACCCTCTGTACGCTAATGATAACTCTGGACCACACCCGCGGGGTGTGGTGCGACCAATATACGACCAAAACACGGAGTCATAAAAAACACGTTTTCGACCCCAATAATAACCCCCGGAGCGTCAAACCGCCGGAGGGGTGTGCTTTGATACCGGTGGATATATGAGGGACAGCTGGAAGCAATCAGATCGAAGATCGGATCACTCGGAGTGAATCGGCGCAAGCTGCCAGCCGACCGAGTACCTATCGGCGGTACCTGTGGGCATGAGAGAACTCTGCTATGTGGGAAAGCGATGTGGGAAGAGGCCTGAGTAGGTAGCCTTGTCGTCCGAGACCTACGAGTAGCCGACGCTGACGATTATCCACCAGACGGCCGATGGAGAGGAAACATCGAAAGGGAAACGTGCATTAGAATGGGTAAATAGGTTGAGCGGTTTTAGCGGGCTTAGGAGTTTGGGTTACGGACTTAGGAGTTAAATGTTCTTGGTTGTTTTTCAGGGTCTCGGGCAGGCCCCGAGTGTATTCTGTATTATTAGTAGACTGGGTCCTCGAGACATAAGCGAGGGATATAAATACTGTGTCATTCACTGACTAGCCAAACCATCATCGGCGAAATCAGAGTCTTAACAATATAAATCGTTGATACGCGAGTTACAACTCTATTTGACTATACTTTTGGAAATACTTTACTCTATCGTGACTTCGCACTCTACTGGAACTATTACGTCGAAGACGGTCGAATACCATCCGCTAACTCTAGTGAATCTTTGTTGATAACGTAGCTCGCGGGGCCCGTATCGGATCAAGGAGAATCATACTCGACGTTGACTGAAGAGACCTTGGAGACTTCTACCTTTGTAGCTGTTAGCCGAACTCTGAGCTCTGCGTAGTGTACTCTTGTGGTCTGGTACGCATCCCTCACATGAACCTAGGACCAACTGGCCGGCCCCAAAGGAAGGAGTAGAATGGAACATTCTAGCAAGTGAGGTCATGATTTCTCAATGGGAATCTATCTGGCAGGCTATGAACGCCAGCTTGCGTAAAGCTAGATTAAGGATGGCCCGGTGGTATGATACTCATGCCCTGTCACCGCCCGAAATCAAGCCCGGAGATGAAGTAATGTTAGACCGGCGCAATGTGCAAACAAAGCGGCCTTTGGGAAAACTGGATCAGAAGAAGATGGGACCCTTCAAGGTCTTAGAAGCGATTGGTACTCGTGCCTACAAGCTCTCTCTTCCCCCTCAAATGGGAATCCACCCGGTCTTTCATGTCTCTCTTCTGGAACCTTACAGAGCACGAGTAGATCCTGAGAGAAGAGTTCCACCACCGGAACCCGAAGAGATTGAAGGAGAACAGAACTGGGTTGTCCGAGTGGTAGCTGATAGCCGGGTCAATAAGAAAAGGAGAAGAGTGGAATACCTAGTGCTGTGGGAAGGTTATGAGAACGAGGATGCTACATGGGAACCTTGGGAGCATCTCAAGAAGAGTGCTGAAGAAGCCCTTCGGGATTTCCATATGAGGTATCCTAAGAAACCCAAGGACAAGGGGATTGTTGGGGTGTAGTTTTCCTTTAGGTTTTCGTTCCTTGCATATCATGGAATTTCTTGTCACATAGAATGGAAGGTAATAGAATGGAAGGTAATAGAATGGTTATAGATCTTGGAGACCAAGATCCTGGAAGAGGGGAGTAGTGTAACGGAGCCATTTCAACTGTCTGGTGTATGAGTACACACAGGGCCCGGTTGCATGCTGAGAGTTATTGTTAGAAGCCAGTTGCATGGTGATATGGAAGTACCGGCAGTGTGGTTAGCTACCAGCTGTTAGAGTAACTACATTCCGGGCGCTAGGAAGAGGATCTATTCATGGGAGCAATGACTGACGAGTCTATGCCTCGCCAGTGACTAGAAGACCGGCCAGAGTGAAGCTCTGATTGCCCGGTGATCCTCTGTATCCTCTGAGCATTGTAGGACCGCCGAAGAGGCAGGGACTATGCTAGGGAAGTCTACAATAAGTCAGAGCTCTACAGCAATGATTAAGCTTACATCTGAGCGGCAGCTCATTCATGCAGGCCCCAGTTGTGTGGCAACCAAGGCTGCAGGTGTTACAAAGGCTTTGACTAAGGGTGGTTGCCTTGGGTATTGGAAACACCTGCTGACGCTTAGAGAAAAGCGGGGTAGCGGTGGTATTGTTTCCGGCACCGAGGAAAGGCTTCACCAAGACTTAGTAAGGAGTTAGGAGTAGAGAATAGAGGGCTTCGGAGTATAAGTACTCAGGTTCATTCTTGCCCTTCAGTCCTGTTCTCTCCAGTCTTCATCAGAAAGAAAAACCAAGTTCTTATCGGTAGCAGAGCCCTTAAAGATTATTGAGTTCTAGCGATAGTATCTTTGAATAATCTGCAACCTGATTGTCTATCTTGCACGGCCGTCTCTATTCTATCCGATTCTATTTCTCTTAGAAAGGACCCCCGTTAGAACGGTAGTCAACGCAAAGTCGCAGACTACCGTCCTTCTTCTTCACAAATAGGATTGGGGCTCCTGCCGGTGATTTGCTTGGCCTAATCTTTCCCAATCGCAACATTTTGTCCAGGTATTCCCGAAGCACCTTCAGCTCGACTTCGGATAGGGAGTAAACGGGTCCCCATGATGGCTGCTTCCCTGGTTCGAGGTCTATCGCATAGTCGTAAGATCGATGCGGTGGTAGTTTGTCTGCTTCCGATGGTAGGAAGACTTTAAGGAACTTGTGGAGCCAAGAGGGAAGAGTTTCGCGGAGGTTAACCGATTCATCTTCCAATAGACAGATGCTGCCGATGAATTGGGCCTCCGGATCGTCCAGTACACTCTCGTCCATCTCTATTTGAGGTTCCTTGTCAGTGAAGCATCGACTTTTGCAGTTCTCGCCATCGTAGGAAACTTCCCCATTTGCCCCTATTACCGACTTGTGCTCTTTCAACCACCAGTTCGGTAGTATTGCATCGATGCCAAGTGGAAGAGGGGCGATCTCGAATGATAACTGTGTTTGATGCCCCCTTGACATTATAATTAATGGTTGTGTAAAGGCGTGTCCCGTGCCCTTCATAATCTCTCCAGTAAATCCAAATACCCGGGCCGGGACGTCCCGTTTCACCTTCGGGACCTCAAAACTATCAACAAAAACAGCAGACAAAACAGGACCAGTTGCTCCAGTATCCAACAACACCTTACAGGGAAAACATTTATCCGCAAAACAAATGGACTGATTAACGATAGGTCGAGGACCGTGAATGGGTTCCTCCAAAATTTTCTGTTTTTTCTCCGGTGGGGACGCTCTCCCCTCCTGCCTTTTTCTTTTCATATTTTTTTTGTTGTTTTCCGTCAGTGATAACATAGCAATCTGGGGATACTCCTGACCTGACTCATCAGAGTCCCCTTCTAAAAACCCATATCGAAATCCATCTCAGATTCCGATCCGCATTCTCGCACAAACGCTTGCCCACTGGTGTACTCCGCCGCAGCAGCAGCAGCCGGCTTCTTTGCTCGGTGCCGCATTCGATTTCTCTGAGGTTGGGGTTCCGGTGGTTCCATATCGTGGTCGCCATCATCATCACGGGTACACTTTTGGGAGAAAGAGGAGATAGATGCACTGCTGTTAGCATCCGAACGACACCATTTCCAAAGATGACCCTTTCGGCCACATCCCACGCAGACACCGTCGGTCTTTCGCTGGTCCCGGGCCGGCTGTGGAACTCCTTTGGTGGCTTCGTCATAGTCGTGGAATATTGGCTTATTCCCGGATTTGTTCTTGCTGGTGCTGTTCTTATCTTGCCCTTTTTCTTTCTCCTCACCTTGAGCCCTCCCTTTAATCTTAAACCCCTTATCCTTCTGCCACGAGTTCCCACCATTGTTTGACTCCTTCCATCTCGACTCCACTTTCCCCAACATCTTCATCTGCTCCTGATAAGCTTCATGAGCCTTGCCGGCTCGTTCCAACTGTTGGATGTACTCGGAGTCGTCATCGGTTGGATCGAAGCGCGAGTGGCGTTCTCGGATTTCATTTGGTAGCCCTTGGAGCAAGGCTGCACGATAGGATGCCCCTTTCATCTGAGCATGCTGGTTCATAATCTCCATCCTTGTCAGGTAGTCTCCGATGTTAGCAGAGTACTTAAACTGCTGCATCTTCATCGCGTTTTCCATAGCTTCCTGAGTGCTTAGGAAACGTTTTCTGACTTCCTGACGGAACCGAGCCCAAGTGGTGTAGTCTGCATCGGCCGGGCCCAACATTTTGGTTTCGATATACTCCATAAACCATTCCTTTGCCAACCCACACGTATATGTTCCAGCGAACAGTACCTTGTTCCTATCCGTTCGGATCTTCTTTGGCTTCTGCTTGAAGTAGATCTCGCATTCCATGAGCCAATGCCGCAGGTTGTGCTTTCTGGCATTATCGAACTCGAAGGGTATTTTGGCGAGCGAATCTACCATATCCTCGTCCTCAGGCGGCGTCGAATTCCGGTTCCCGCCTCGGTTCATTCTCCAGTTCTTCCTACCATGCGACCATTCACTGTTATCGTCGTCATCATCGTCGGAAGGTTCTGGGTCTCCCCCAAGGTTTCCTCTTGGTGGGTTCCGGAGAGTTTGATTTCCACCATTCCCTCCTACTGGGGCATCTCCTACCGGTCACCTTCCACTATTTCCCTGCACTGGACCGGCGTCCTCCGGTTTTTTACCTCCATTTCCTCCTACTGGGCCAGCTCCTTCTGGTTGCTTGCCGTTCCCTGAGGTTTGGGGGCCAGCATTTTCAGGGTTCTTGCCATTGCCAACAGGAACCGTTTGGGGTGCGGTTGGATCTACGGGACCACTAACCATGGAGGGTGCTACCGACAAATGTTGTCGTAGTCGTTCCTCCATCTCGGCTATCCGTTGGTTTCTTGCTTCATCGAACTGCTTGAATTGCGCAAACAGCTCCCGTTGTTCCCTTTTTTCCTGCTCTCGCTCTTCCCTCACCATCCTTACTTGTCGCTCCGTCTCTTGTAGCCGGTTGTTACGGGCATGCCAAGCATTTACGGGAGTGAGAGAAAGGCTAAGTAGATACCCTAATACCCTCTAATACCAACATCAACTCCGGTTCGCACCCACGAGGTGCGGTGTGATCGATATGCGACCAAATGCGGAGTTGCGGTTTTCCTAGTTAAAAAACACGTTTTCGACCCCAATAATAACCCCTGGAGCGTCAAACCGCCGGAGGGGAGTGCTTTTGGACCGGTGGATATATGAGGGACAGCTGGAAGCAATCGGATCGAAGATCGGATCCCTCGGAGCGAATCGGCGCAAGCTACCAGCCGACCGAGTACCTGTCGGCGGTACCTGTGGGCATGAGAGGACTCTGCTATATGGGAAAGCGATGTGGGAAGAGGCCTGAGTAGGTAGCCTTGTCGTCCGATACCTACGAGCAGCCGACACTGACGATTATCCACCACACGGCCGATGGAGAAGAAACATCGACAGGGAAACGTGCATTAGAATGGGTAAATAGGTTGAGGGGTTTTTAGCGGACTTAGGAGTTTGGGTTACGGACTTAGGAGTTAAATGTTCTTGGTTGTTTTTCAGGGTCTCGGGTAGGCCCCGAGTGTATTCTGTATTATTAGTAGACTGGGCCCTCGAGACATAAGCGAGGGATATAAATACTGTTTCATTCACTGACTAGCCAAACTATCATCGGCGAAATCAGAGTCTTAACAATATAAATCGTTGATACGCGAGTTACAACTTTATTTGACTATACTTTTGAAATACTTTACTCTATCGTGACTTCGTACTCTACCTGAACTATTACGTCGAAGACGGTCGAATACCATCCGCTAACTCTAGTGAATCTTTGTTGATAACGTAGCTCGCGGGGACCGTATTGGATCAAGGAGATTCATACTCGACGTTGACTGAAGAGACCTTGGAGACTTCTACCTTTGTAGCTGTTAGCCGAACTCGGAGCTCTGCGTAGTGTACTCTTGTGATCTGGTACGCATCCCTCACAGTATATTGTTACTCACAAGTTCACTTGGAGTAACGAAGTCACCTCAAAAGAAGAAACTATCATCAATATCCCCCATTACAATAGCTACCGGAAGGCTGGGATATTTCTTAGATACCTCGGCCGTAACTGATGAGGCCATGGAGGATTCTATTGTACCATCAAGGGCTGGAAGTCCAGATCCCCTACTCCAGGGAGGACCATCTGTACAAACTAGGCAAACGAGTAAACGCTCTGCTCAAGCCCAGTTTACGAGACACATGCAGGAGTTTTTAGATACCCATGAGGCACAAATGAGGTATCTTGGTACGGCAGGACAAGCAATGTGGCAGCAGCTACAAAACCTCCAAGAACAATTGCAAGGGAGTGGGCAAATCCTAGATAAGAAAGCACGATCAGAAGCCATTGCAACAAAGCAACATCTCGAATCGCTCTTCGAGCTCGTCGCAAATATTCGACAAGTACAAGAAGCCGCACGAGCCGCCGACCATGAGGTTCTGGAGCGTAATCATCAGACTACCCAGAACTAGCTACAGGAGGCGGAGCGACAACTAAGGCTAGTAAGAGAAGAGCGGGAGCAGAAAAAAAGGGAACAATGGGAGCTGTTTGCGCAATTCAAGCAGTCCGATGAAGCAAGAAACCAACGGATAGCCGAGATGGAGGAACGACTACGACAACATTTGTCGGTAGCACCCTCCATGGTTAGTGGTCCCGTAGATCCTACCGCACCCCAAACGGTCCCTGTTGGCAATGGCAAGAACCCCGAAAATGCTGGCCCCCAGACATCAGGGAACGGCAAGCGACCGGTAGGAGCTGCTCCAGTAGGAGGGAATGGTGGAAATCAAGCTCCCCGGAACCTACCAAGAGGAAACCTTGCGGGAGACCCAGAACCTTCCGACGACGATGACGACGATAACAGTGAATGGTCGCACGGTAGGAAGAACTGGAGAATGAACCGAGGCGGGAACCGGAATTCGGCGCCGCCTGAGGACGAGGATATGGTAGATTCGCTCGCTAAAATACCCTTCGAGTTCGATAATGCCAGAAAGCACAATCTGCGGCATTGGCTCATGGAATGCGAGATCTACTTCGAACAGAAGCCAAAGAAGTTCCGGACAGATAGGAACAAGGTATTGTTCGCCGGAACATATACCTGTGGGTTGGCAAAAGAATGGTTTATGGAATATATCGAGACCAAGATGCTAGGTCCGGCAGCCGCGGACTACGCCACTTGGACTCGGTTCCGTCAGGAAATCAGAAAACGCTTCCTAAGTACTCAGGAAGGTATGGAGAATGCGATGAAGATGCAGCAGTTCAAGTACTCTGCTAACATCGGAGACTACCTGACAAGGATGGAGATCATGAACCAGCATGCTCAGATGAAAGGGGCATCCTACCGCGCCGCCTTGCTCCAAGGATTACCAAATGAAATCCGAGAACGCCTGTAACGGCAGCTATGTATTTCGGCTAGGTGATTAAGAGCCAACGAAAAGGTGATGTTACACGTTCGATTCCCCCCCCTCTCAGGCGGTGCCGAGGGCAGGTGCTGGCTGGGGCTCAAGCGGGACGACGTAGGTTGCGTCCTTTATCGCCAACCAATACAACACCATAGTCTACAATGTCGGAACACGCCCCTATTGATTATCAACAACTCAGTACTAACCTCCAAACCTTTTTTCAAGCACACCCACAGGTCGATAATGTTATCGGAGTTGAAGCCTATGCGCTTCTCCAACAGTGTCAACATGGTCTTGCTCAATATGCAACGGATTTACAGGAGATAGAAGCGGAGGCTCAGAGAGCAAGAAGAATGTTTGAACGAGATCTTGCTGCTGTCCGAACCCAACAGACTGCTGTCGAGGGTGAGTGAGCACCCGTCGAGGACAATGCTCCACCTGCACCCCCAGTACCACTCGCTACAGGTACTACCTATCGGTCAGAAAAGCTTCCGGATCCTGAGGTGTTCAGGGGAGATCGTGATCGAGAAAGATTACACCTATTCAAGCAACAAATGAGAATCAAGCTATTGGGAAATGCCGATCGCTATCCCACTCTACAGTCTAAATTATCCTATGCGTTCAGTAGATTGGAAGGCGTTGCTGCCAATCAGTTCTTACAGTATGTCGGTGAAGGAGGTATCACCTTGCCTTCTATGCTACGGTTTTATGAGGTTTTGGACACTGCTTTTGGAGACCCCGATCGGATGCGTACGGCTAGGAGGAACCTTAGAAATATCCGTCAACGAAATCGAACGTTCGCCGACTATTTTGCCGAGTTTCAACGTGTGAGAGATGCGTACCAGACCACAAGAGTACACTACGCAGAGCTCAGAGTTCGGCTAACAGCTACAAAGGTAGAAGTCTCCAAGGTCTCTTCAGTCAACGTCGAGTATGAATCTCCTTGATCCGATACGGGCCCCGCGAGCTACGTTATCAACAAAGATTCACTAGAGTTAGCGGATGGTATTCGACCGTCTTCGACGTAATAGTTCCAGTAGAGTGCGAAGTCACGATAGAGTAAAGTATTTCCAAAAGTATAGTCAAATAGAGTTGTAACTCGCGTATCAACGATTTATATTGTTAAGACTCTGATTTCGCCGATGATGGTTTGGCTAGTCAGTGAATGACACAGTATTTATATCCCTCGCTTATGTCTCGAGGACCCAGTCTACTAATAATACAGTATACACTCGGGGCCTGCCCGAGACCCTGAAAAACAACCAAGAACATTTAACTCCTAAGTCCGTAACCCAAACTCCTAAGCCCGCTGAAACCCCTCAACCTATTTACCCATTCTAATGCACGTTTCCCTGTCGAGGTTTCCTCTCCATCGGCCGTCTGGTAGATAATCGTCAGCGTCGGCTATTCGTAGGTCTCGGATGACAAGACTACCTACTCAGGCCTCTTCCCACATCGCTTTCCCACATAGCAGAGTCCTCTCATGCCCACAGGTACCGCCGATAGGTACTCGGTCGGCTGGTAGCTTGCGCCGATTCACTCCGAGTGATCCGATCTTCGATCCGATTGCTTCCAGCTGTCCCTCATATATCCACCGGTATCAAAGCACACCCCTCCGGCGGTTTGACGCTCCGGGGGTTATTATTGGGGTCGAAAACGTATTTTTTATGACTCCGTGTTTTGGTCGTATATTGGTCGCACCACACCCCGCGGGTGCGGTCCAGAGTTGTCATTAGCATACCGAGGGTATTGGGGTATCTACTGGCCTTTTCTCTTACTCCCATAAATGCTTGGCATGCCCGTAACACAACGGTATACTGCTGAGTCGGGTATGGATGAAGTTTCTCGGATTGAGGCTTTGATGGAAGGAATTAATGCGGAACTCGATGAATCAATGATACACCATGATACTCCTGCGACGGTAAACGCCTGTGCGACACTTTTGCAACGGTTGGACAATCGCCGTCGAGCGGCAGAAGCTAAACAAGGGAGTAAAAAGTCTTGGAATGTTACCACTACTCCGACCCCTCGTCCCCCACCAGCGAATCCTGTTTCTGCTCCCCGTGCTGCCGCCCCAGTCGCCAATGTACCTGTTACTGAAAGTCATCCCTCATCCCGCCTGGGAGGTGATGTACCAATGGATCTATCTGGAGGACGCCGTCGCCCCTCCCCTGCCGAAAGAAATGCCCGCTTAGTTGAGGGCTGATGTTTCTATTGCGGAGGTGTTGGGCACATGGTCAGGGATTGTCCCCAAGCGAGGGCAACTGGAAATCAACCAAGAAGGCCTGTAATGAGAGGAGCAGCATTGACGGTGGAGGAAAATGATGGAAGCGATAACGAGTCGGCAAAAGACTTGTCCCTGCACTAAGTGGCTTAGCTCAGGGACCGTTTAAGGATTTTTCTAGGATGTGTATTTCTGGTTTTTCGGTATCAGAGGAGGAAATGGATGGAAACCAACTTGTAGTAACTTGTTCGATTTCACAGAATAAAAATTCTTTCATCCCCACCTACGCTCTTATTGATACGGGAGCATCAGGATACGCTTTCATTGACGAATCTTTTGCACGCCACAACAATCTTACAATGACCCCCCTTAAAATACCTCGCCATGTAGACGTTATAGACGGAAGACCTATCAAATCAGGAAAAATCACCCATATTGTCGATGTTTCGCTAGACATTCATGGTCATCGGGAAATTGCGCCATGTTTTGTGACGAAGTTAGGACATTACCCGATTGTGATGGGGATACCTTGGATGCGACGCCATGATGTTACGATTCGACCAAAGGAAAATCTACTTGTTTTTGACTCTCGGAGCTGTTGTCAATATTGTTCACTTAGTGGAACTGCAGTTATTGTTCATGGTATCTCAATTCGTTTACCGGAACACCATACAGTCATCGTTTCAGCAACTGAAAAATCTACCATCGATATCGAACAGCTAGTACCGAAGGAGTTTCACCATCGTCTCCATATGTTTAAAGAATATGACGCTTCAATCCTTCCACCACATTGACCATCCCATGATATCGAAATAGTGTTAGAAGAAGGCAAACGACCACCATATGGACCCATATATGGATTGTCTCAAATCGAGTTGAAAGCACTACGGGAATATCTTGATGAAAATTTACCCAAAGGATTTATTCGGGCTAGTGAGTCACCAGCGGGAGCACCTATATTGTTCGTAAAGAAAAGCGATGGAACCCTTCGACTTTGTGTTGACTATCGAGGTTTAAATGCAATTACAATCAAAAATCGGTATCCATTACCATTGTTAAAGGAAACCCTGGCTAAGCTGTCGAGAGCACAATACTATACCAAGTTGGATTTACGTTGGGGATATAATGAGATCAGGATAGCGGAGGGAGATGAATGGAAAACGGCATTCAGAACTCGATATGGACATTTCGAATATACAGTAATGCCGTTTGGATTAGCGAATGCCCCTGCTACATTTCAACATTGGATCAATGATATTCTACGACCTTACCTCGATCAATTTGTGACGGCATATTTGGTTGATATCCTTATCTATTCCGAAACTTTATCAGAACATAAAGAACACATCCGAAAGGTTCTAAAGGTACTTGATGAGAATCATGTTCACCTTAAACCTGAAAAATGTGAATTTATGGTTCAAGAGACAAAATATCTTGGTTTAATCCTTACCCAAATGGAAATAGAATGGACCCAAAGAAAGTTATCGATGTTTTGGAATGGCCTACACCAACGAACGTTCATGATGTTCAAGTATTTCTAGGATTTGCAAATTTCTATCGACGGTTCATTCTAGGATATTCAAAAATTGTTGCTCCACTTACAGCCTTGACAAAGAAAAATGTTAAATTCGAATAGACAGATGAAAGGGAGGAAGCATTTCAAACCTTGAAAAAGATGTTTACAACGGCACCGATACTAGTTCATTTTAATCCAGATCGAAGGATTGTGATAGAAACCGATGCATCTGACTATGTTTCAGCAGGAATCCTATCTCAACGTGATAACGAAGGAATCCTACATCCAGTCGCTTTCTTCTCCAAGAAACATTCTCCTGCTGAATGCAACTATGAAATCTATGACAAAGAACTTTTAGCAATCATACGATGCTTCGAAGAATGGCGACATCATCTGGAGGGAGCTCAATTCCCAATTGAAGTTTTTAGCGACCATCGGAATCTTGAATATTTTATGACAACAAAATTATTAAATCGTCGACAAGCCCGTTGGTCCGAATTCCTTTCACGTTTCGATTTCGTTATACAATTTCAGCCAGGAAAACAGGGAGCGAAACCAGATGCATTGACTAGGAGGTCAGGTGACCTACCTAAAGAGGGGGATGAACGATTGACACATCAAAGTCAAGTGATTTTGAAGCGAAAAAATTTGGATACCAAGCTAAGTTTGTTCGCGGGTTCTTTGGCAAATGAATCCGCTGAAGGAGCGTTCACTGTAGAAGAGTTATTTTCAAAAGCTTACCAAGTTGATAGTTTTCCAAATAAGATCCTCACTGTTACGGGCATGCCAAGCATTTACGGGAGTGAGAGAAAGGCTAGTAGACACCCCAATACCCTCTGTACGCTAATATCAACTCTTGACCACACTCGCGGAGTGTGGTGCGACCAAATTACGACCAAAAAACCCAGAGTCATAAAAAACACGTTTTCGACCCCAATAATAACCCCCGGAGCGTCAAACCGCCGGAGGGGAGTGTTTTGGTACCGGTGGATATATGAGGGACAGCTGGAATCAATCGGATCGAAGATCGGACCACTCGGAGCGAATCGGCGCAAGCTGCCAGCCGACCGAGTACCTATCGGCGGTACCTGTGGGCATGAGAGGACTCTGCTATATGGGAAAGCGATGTGGGAAGAGGCCTGAGTAGGTAGCCTTGCCGTCCGAGACCTCCGAATAGCCGACGCTGATGATTATCCACCAGACGGCCGATGGAGAAGAAACATCGACAGGGAAACGTGCATTAGAGTGGATAAATAGGTTGAGGGGTTTTAGCGGGTTTAGGAGTTTAGGGTACGGATTTAGGAGTTAAATGTTCTTGGTTGTTTTTCAGGGTCTCGGGCATGCCCCGAGTGTATTCTGTATTATTAGACTGGGTCCTCGAGACATAAGCGAGGGATATAAATACTGTGTCATTCACTGACTAGCCAAACCATCATCGGCGAAATCAGAGTCTTAACAATATAAATCGTTGATACGCGAGTTACAACTTTATTTGACTATACTTTCTGAAATACTTTACTCTATCGTGACTTCGAACTCTACCTGAACTATTACGTCGAAGACGGTCGAACATCACACGCTAACTCTAGTGAATCTTTGTTGATAACGTAGCTCGCGGGGCCCGTATCGGATCAAGGAGAATCATACTCGACGTTGACTGAAGAGACCTTCGAGACTTCTACCTTTGTAGCTGTTAGCCGAACTCTGAGCTCTGCGTAGTGTACTCTTGTGGTCTGGTACGCATCCCTCACAGTATATTGTTACTCGCAAGTTCACTTGGAGTAACGAAGTCACCTCAAAAGAAGAACTATCATCATTATCCCCTATCACAATGACTACCCGAAGGGATAATTATTTCATAGACACCTCGGCCGTAACTGAGGAGGCCGGAGGAGAAGATTCTATGGTAATATCAAGGGCTGCTAGCCCCGACCCCCTACTCACGGGAGGACCCTCTACACAAACTAGGTCAACGAGTAAACGCTCTGCTCAAGCCCAGTTCGTGAGGAATATGCAGGAGTTTTTGGATACCCATGAGGCACAAATGAGGTATCTTGGTGCAGCTGGACAGGCCGTTTGGCAGCAGCTACAAAACCTCCAGGAACAAGTCCAAGGGAGTGGGCAAATCCTGGACAAAAAGGTACGGCAAGAAGCCATTGCCCAAAAACAACATCTGGAATCGCTCTTTGAACTCGTCTCCAGTGTCCAACAAGTACACGAAGCTGCCCGAGCCGCCGACCACAAGGTTCTGGAGCAAAGTCATCTACAAACCCAGAACCAGTTACAGGAGGCGGAGCGACAGCTGAGGATGGTGAGAGAAGAGCGGGAGCAGGAAAAAGGGGAGCAACGAGCTTGGTTTGCGGAATTCAAGCGGTCCGATGCGGAAAGAAACCAACGGATAGCCGAGATGGAGGAACTACTGCGACAACATCTGTCAGTAGCACCTTCTGTGGCAAGTGCTCCTTTAGACCCTAATGCGCCCCGAACGGTTCCTGTTGGCAATGGCAAGAAACCCGAAAATACTGGCCCAGTAGGAGGAAACGCTGGTCCAGTAGGAGGAAATGGGGGCAGGCGGCCGGAGGATGCCGGCCCAGTACAGGGCAATAATGGCAGAGGACCGGTGGGAGCTGCTCCAGTTGGTGGGAATGGTGGGAATCAACCTCCACAAAACCCACCAAGAGGAAACGTTGGGGGAGACCCAGAACCTTCCGACGATGATGACGACGATAATAGTGAATGGTCGCACGGTCGGAAGAATTGGAGAAGGAACCGAGGCGGGAACCGGAATACCGCGCCGCCTGAAGACGACGATATGGTAGATTCGCTCGCCAAAATACCTTTTGAGTTCGATAATGCCAGAAAGCATAACCTGCGGCATTGGCTCATGGAGTGCGAGATCTACTTTGAGCAGAAGCCCAAGAAGTTCCGAACGGACAGGAACAAAGTACTGTTCGCTGGAACGTATACGTGTGGGTTAGCAAAGGAATGGTTCATGGAGTACATCGAGACCAAGATGCTAGGTCCAGCAGCCGCAGACTACGCCACCTGGACTCGATTCCGTCAGGAGATCAGAAAACGTTTCCTAAGCACTCAGGAAGCTATGGAAAATGCGATGAAGATGCAGCAGTTCAAGTACTCTGCTAACATCGGGGACTACCTGACGAGGATGGAGATTATGAACCAGCATGCCCAGATGAAAGGGGCATCCTACCGCGCCGCCTTGCTCCAAGGACTACCAAATGAAATCCGGGAGCGCCACTCCCGCTTCGACCCAACTGATGACGACTCCGAGTACATCCAACAGTTGGAACGAGCCGGCAAGGCTCACGAGGCTTATCAGGAGCAGATGAAGATGTTGGGGAAAGTAGAGTCGAAAGGAAGGGAATCGAATAATGGTGGGAACTCGCGGCAGAAGGAGAAGGGGTTTAAGATCAAGGGGAGGGCTCAGACCGAGGAGAAGGAAAAAGGACAAGATAAGAAGAGTACCAGCAAGAACAAGTCGGGGAATAAGCCAATATACCACGACTACGACGAAGCCACCAAAGGAGTTCCACAGCCGGTCCGAGAACAGCGAAAGACCGATGGAGCCTGTGTGCGATGTGGCCGAAAGGGTCATCTTTGGAAATGGTGTCGTTCAGATGCTAACAGCAGTGCATCTATCTCCTCTTTCTCCCGAAAGCGTACCCGCGATGACGATGGCGACCACGATATGGAACCACCGGAACCCCAACCTCAGAGAAAGCGAATGAGGCACCGTGCTAAGAAGCCGGCTGCGACGGCTGCTGCGGAGTACACCAGTGGGCAAGCGTTTGTGCGAGAACGCGGATCGGAATCTGAGATGGATTTCGACGAGGATTTTTAAAAGGGGACTCTGATGAGTCAGGTCAGGAGTATCCCCAGATTGCTATGTTATCACTGATGGAAAACAACAAAAAAAATATGAAAAGAAAAAGGCAGGAAGGGAGAGCGTCCCAACCGGAGAAAAAACAGAAAATTTTGGAGGAACCTATTCATGGTCCTCGACCTATCGTTAATCAGTTCCTTTGTTTTGCGGAAAAATGTTTACCTTGTAAGGTGTTGTTGGATACTGGTGCAACTGGTCCTGTTTTGTCTGCTGTTTTTGTTGATAGTTTTGAGGTCCCGAAGGTGAAACGAGACGTCCCGGCCCGAGTATTTGGATTTACGGGAGAAGTTATGAAGGGCACGGGACACGCCTTTACACAACCATTAATTATAATGTCAAGGGGGCATCAAACGCAACTATCATTCGAGATCGCCCCGCTCCCACCTGGCATCGACGCGATACTACCGAACTGGTGGTTGAAAGAACACAAGCCGGTTATAGGGGCAAATGGGGAAGTTTCCTACGATGGTGAGAACTGCAAGAGTCGTTGCTTCACTGACAAGGAACCTCAAATAGAAATGGACGAGGGGGTACTGGACGATCCGGAGGCCCAATTCATCGGTAGCATCTGTCTCTTGGAAGATGAATCGGTTAACCTCCGTGAAACTCTTCCCTCTTGGCTCCATGGGTTCCTTAAAGTCTTCCTACCATCGGAAGCCGACAAACTACCACCGCATCGATCTTACGACCATGCGATAGATCTCGAACCAGGGAAGCAGCCACCATGGGGACCCGTTTACTCCCTATCCGAAGTCGAACTGAAGGTGCTTCGGGAGTACCTGGACAAAATGTTGCGATTGGGAAAGATTAGGCCGAGCAAATCCCCTGCAGGAGCCCCAATCCTATTTGTGAAGAAGAAGGACGGTAGTCTGTGACTTTGCGTTGACTACCGTGGACTTAACCGAGTATCCATTAAGAACAGGTATCCGTTACCACTTATGGACGAACTACGAGATCGAGTGGCAGGCGCGGTTATCTTCTCGAAGATTGACCTGAAGGAAGGTTACAACCTTATCAGGATCAAAGATGGCGACGAGTGGAAGACAGCATTCCGTACGCGGTACGGGCATTTTGAGTACCTCGTTATGCCTTTTGGGCTGGCAAATGCGCCGGCGACCTTCCAGAACATGATGAATGATGCGCTGAGGGAATTCTTGGATCAAGGTGTAGTAGTATACCTTGATGATATCCTAATATATAGCAAGTCTCGAGAGGAGCACAGGGAGTTGGTCGGCAAAGTCCTTAGTAGGCTACAAGAATACAATCTGGTCGCCAACCCGAAGAAATCGTTCTTCGAGCTCACTGAAATCGAGTTCCTCGGATACATCCTTGCCCCAGCAGGCGTCACCATGGCACTGGATAAGGTTATGTCTGTTACGAATTGGCAAGCCCCGCGTAGCGTTAAGGAAGTACAGATCTTCATGGGCTTTGCCAACTTCTACAGAAGGTTTATCCACAATTTCTCCGGGGTCTGTAAACCCATTACCGATTGTCTCAGGGGTGATGCTAAGAACTTTGTCTGGTCTATGACGGCCCAAGCAGCCTTCGAAAAACTCAAAACCCTGTTTACGTCTGCACCGATCTTGGTACATTTCTCTCCAGATCGCCAGACTATCGTGGAAACGGACGCAAGTGATTTTGCTATCGCCGCAATTCTATCCCAGGTTATTGACGGAAAGACTCACCCTGTTGCCTTTTATTCTCGAAAGCTTAACCCAGCGGAACTCAACTACGACGTGTGGGATAAGGAGATGCTAGGAATTGTGTCAGCCTTTAAGCAATGGCGTCACTACCTCGAAGGACCTAGCCGAACGGTTCTCGTTTATACGGATCATAAGAACTTGGAATATTTCTCAACAACCAAGGTTCTTAACCGACGACAGGCAAGGTGGGCTGAGTCTTTGGCGGAATTTGACTTTAAGATTATTTACCGCCCGGGAACCAAAAATGGGAAGGCAGATGCACTATCGCGACGGCCGGAGTACCGTCCTGAAGGGGGAGGCACGCTTGGGAAACAGCCGATAGACAGGTTCTTTAAGCCCGGACAGTTGGCGGAGGAAGAGTTTGTGGTATCAGCGGTGTCGCTTGCCTCCAAGGGGGTGATTGACTGGTCGAAGAATTTTCTGGATCATGTCAGGCAGGCGGCATCGGGAGACCCGACATGGGTAGGAATGAAAGAGAGAGTTGAGCAAGGGGAGAAGCTGGGGGAATTGAAGGATATTGCCGAAAAAGACGGGCTACTCTTCTATAAGAACCGACTCTATATTCCGGCAGACGACCGCATCAAGATCCGAATTGCACAGTCAGAACACGATTCGAAGGTGGCAGGACACTTTGGACAAGACAAAACTTTGGAACTCATCACACGTAACTTCTATTGGCCAAAAATGAACGAGTGGATTGATGATTACGTTCGGTCATGTGACGAGTGCCAGCGCAACAAACCCAGCCGCCATAAGAAGTACGGTGCGCTTCTACCATTGTCCACACCACATTCCGTCTGGCAATCGATATCAATGGACTTCGTCGTGCAATTACCGGAATCGAAGGGATACAACCAAATTTGGGTAGTAGTCGATAGGTTCTCGAAGATGTCGCACTTCATTCCCCTAGTAGCAGAAACGACCGCGCAGGATTTAGCGAAGATATTCCTCGGTCAAATCTGGCGACTCCATGGGCTGCCTCTTGATATAGTTTCCGACAGGGACGCCAAGTTTACTTCAAGCTTTTGGGCATCCCTTATGGAATTATTGGACGTGAGGATAAGAATGAGTACGGCTTTCCACCCTCAGACCGATGGGCAAACAGAGCGAGTCAACCAAACCCTCGAGCATTACTTACGAGCGTTCTGCAACTACGAGCAAGATGATTGGGCAGAGCTACTCCCGTTGGCGGAGTATGCTTACAACAACTCGGTTACCACCGCCACGGGTCAATCTCCGTTTTATACCAATTACGGTTATAACCCAAGAACCAACTGGCCGACAGAAGCCGAAGTGGTCAACCCAACTAGTGATCTGTACGCTCATTTCATCCGAGGGGTTCATGATTCTGCTCTCGCTCGCTTAACAGACACCAGGGAAAAGATGGGGAAATACTATGATCGAAAAAGGGACGAACCGCCTAACTTCAAGGTGGGAGACATGGTTATGCTCAATGCGACCAATATCAAGACACGTCGCTCCACCAAGAAACTCGATCACAAGAAACTCGGCCCGTTCAAAATCATCCGACTAGCCGGGAAACGAGCCTGCGAACTGGAACTGCCGCCACAAGTCAAAATCCATAATGTGTTCCATATTGAACTCTTGGAACGGTATCGACAGAGCAGTATCCCAGGCCGAGAACAACGTCCCCCAACTCCCGAAGAGGTCGATAAGGAAGGAGAGGTGTTGTACGAAGTGGAAAGTATCGTGGGCAGCCGGAAAAGCAGAAGAGGATTAGTGGAATACCTGGTGAAATGGCGGGGCTATTCGATGAGTGACTGTACGTATCAAGTCATGGACGCTATGGATGAGGAAGTACTTGACCTTGTCCGCGACTTCCATCGAAGGAACCCCAAGGCCGTGAAGGACCAACGCCTGAGACTATAGAGGTACCCTACGGGGCTAAGTCCTTCCCCTCCACAGACACCGCGGGTGATATGTGGAGCAGGTTTACTGGAACCATAGTCTGTCAGAAGATGTCCCGAGACGTGACACCCTGGAAGGGGGGTAAGCTGTTACGGGCATGCCAAGCATTTACGGGAGTGAGAGAAAGGCTAGTAGACACCCCAATACCCTCTGTACGCTAATATCAACTCTTGACCACACTCGCGGAGTGTGGTGCGACCAAATTACGACCAAAAAACCCAGAGTCATAAAAAACACGTTTTCGACCCCAATAATAACCCCCGGAGCGTCAAACCGCCGGAGGGGAGTGTTTTGGTACCGGTGGATATATGAGGGACAGCTGGAATCAATCGGATCGAAGATCGGACCACTCGGAGCGAATCGGCGCAAGCTGCCAGCCGACCGAGTACCTATCGGCGGTACCTGTGGGCATGAGAGGACTCTGCTATATGGGAAAGCGATGTGGGAAGAGGCCTGAGTAGGTAGCCTTGCCGTCCGAGACCTCCGAATAGCCGACGCTGATGATTATCCACCAGACGGCCGATGGAGAAGAAACATCGACAGGGAAACGTGCATTAGAGTGGATAAATAGGTTGAGGGGTTTTAGCGGGTTTAGGAGTTTAGGGTACGGATTTAGGAGTTAAATGTTCTTGGTTGTTTTTCAGGGTCTCGGGCATGCCCCGAGTGTATTCTGTATTATTAGACTGGGTCCTCGAGACATAAGCGAGGGATATAAATACTGTGTCATTCACTGACTAGCCAAACCATCATCGGCGAAATCAGAGTCTTAACAATATAAATCGTTGATACGCGAGTTACAACTTTATTTGACTATACTTTCTGAAATACTTTACTCTATCGTGACTTCGAACTCTACCTGAACTATTACGTCGAAGACGGTCGAACATCACACGCTAACTCTAGTGAATCTTTGTTGATAACGTAGCTCGCGGGGCCCGTATCGGATCAAGGAGAATCATACTCGACGTTGACTGAAGAGACCTTGGAGACTTCTACCTTTGTAGCTGTTAGCCGAACTCTGAGCTCTGCGTAGTGTACTCTTGTGGTCTGGTACGCATCCCTCACACTCACTATGCTTCGGAATGACGTTCGCCACTCGAATGAAATTTCGCTTGCCGAATGTACGGAAGATAACAATGGTCGGCTACTTTATCGAGGCACGCTATATGTACCAAATGACAATGACCTTCGGTTAAGGCTTTTAAAAGAACATCATGACCAACCATCTGCAGGACATCCGGGTAGAGCAAAGACATTGGAACTTTTAAATCGAGAATATTATTGGCCACAAATGCGAAAATATGTCGACCAGTATGTTAGGAATTGCAATGTGTGTACCCGTAGCAAGGCACCACACAATGCACCTTATGGAGTACTCCGTCCTATGCCGATACCTGAGGGACCATGGATGGATATATCAATGGATTTTGTTACTGATCTCCTTGAGAGCGATGGATACAATGCAATCTTAGTTGTGGTGGATAGATTAACTAAAATGCGACATCTAATACTAACGACCAAAGAGGTAAATTCAAGGGAAGTAGCGAGGCTATATATCGATAACGTTTCGAAGCTACATGGACTACCTAATACCATTGTATCAGATCGAGGAACACAATTTGTTGCGGAGTTTTGGAAGTCGCTTTGTGAACGGTTGGAAATATCGCCAAAATTCTCTACTGCATTTCATCCTCAGACCGACGGACAGATGGAAAGAATCAATGCCGTAATGGAACAATACCTTCGAAGCTATGTATCTTATCAACAGGACGATTGGGCTCGATTGTTATCAATGGCCGAGTTTGCGACAAACAATCATGCTTCGGAAACAACAAAGGTCTCTCCTTTTTATGCCAATTCGGGAAGAAATCCAAGGATGACTTTTGGCCCTTTGGAACATGCTCGAACGACGGCGGAGGATCAAGCGAACCGTATTGCAAGAGAAATGAAGGAGGTAGTGGATTTTCTAAGAGAAGAGATGTTTCGGGCGCAAAGGATACAAGAAGAGTCAGCCAATAAAAATCGGACTCCAGCTCCTCGTTACCATTTAGGAGATAAGGTTTTCCTATCGACACGCCATATTCTAACAAAGCGACCGTCCAAAAAATTCGACTGGAAACGTATTGGACCTTATAACGTTGAGCGAATTGTCAATCCCTATGCCTACGAGTTGGAACTTCCCCGGTCAATGAAAATTCATCCAGTATTTCACGTTTCGTTATTGTCACCCGAAGCAAATGATCCTTTGCTAGGACAACAACAATTGCCACCACCTCCGGTCGAAATTGAAGGGGAGGAAGAATGGGAAGTCGAAGATATTTTGGATTCGAGGAAACGAAGGGGAAAGTTTGAGTATTTGGTACGATATAGAGGATATGATGAGGCCTCCTGGCAACCACTATCGGACCTTGAGCATTCACCTGATATCGTCAAGCGATTCCACGAGCGTTATCCAGGAAAGCCTAAGCCTACCAGGAGGTAGGCCTTAGAGGGGGGCGTGATCTGTAACGGCAGCTATGTATTTCGGCTAGGTGATAAACTGGAACGAGGAAAGGAGGTATTGTGCAGTGGAATTAGGATTTGTAATGGGAATTTCTGTTATGTTCTTTTAGTTTCTGTTATGCGGAGGTATTAGTCATCATTGGACTATGGTTGGATATATAAGGGGGCATTGTTTTGTGTTTCTATTTGTTTCCTTCTTTCCTTCTTTCTGTACGCAACCTCTGTATTCATTCGCTCGCCTCTGGCTCGCGATGGATTTTTTCCCCCCCGAGATGGAGTTATACTGATTCTCGAATTGCTTCGGTCCCTGAACTTCCCTCGCTCGACACCCCCCATTCTTTGTTCGTTCGGTGCCCTCACGGGATGCGTCCACCGTTCACCCCTCGCCAAAACGACGGCCACCGCCAGACGGTCGTTCCCCCTCCTTACTTTCACTCATCGCACGAGTGATCCCACACGTCGGGTACGCACACTGTCAGTAATCTCTAGTCAGCGAGAACCTACTGCCAAAGCGCTCGACAGCCCGCGAAGTTAGCGACCTTCGGTCGCGAAACTATCGTCAAATTTTTTACCCGAGGTCCCGTGACCTTACCCCTCTTTATCGGCCTTAACCAGGCCACCCACTTTTACCCGAGGCGGCCCGCTCCCCTCACCCCAACCCAACCGGTCTCCGAGACCACCCTCAACACAACACGGTCGGCACTTTCGATTGCGACCCCCATACATACTGAGCCTTCGGCTCAACCCTTTTTGCATGTCCCCTCCAGAGGACACTACTTCAATTACGACTCGGGCACAGTCTTTAGCCGTTGCTCCAGGGACCGACGACCCCACCCATTCTTACTTGACCTACCGGTCACCACTCCTTAACTCCTCGCTGCCTGACAACCAGACGCCCGAGGACCCACTCTTACACCACCCCCCTCGCTTCCACCCTGACGCTGCGGCGGTTGGCCTCTCCTGCCTTCGTGCGCGTGGTTTCCCAGTCCTGTTAAGGTTTGTCCACAGATATGACACCGGGAACGTTGGTAATGATATCGTTTCGATTGAACACTACGTTTAGGATTGTGCTCGCTTATGTAGTTGACGGAGAAGTTTGGGGTTCATTCTTACTACGGGGAGGTTTCTTTGTTGTCGCTTAGATTCTGCTTACCTGTACCACTTGTTATTTGCGCCCTCTTCGTGCGTCGTTTACTTTTATTTATGTACGTAGTTCTTGTAGCTGCGGTAGTTAGTTTTTGTACTTTGTGTTTGCTTTCGGGTTAGTCGGTGGAGGTTGTAGTCGGGTAGTTAGGTGTGCGATAAGCTTCGGCTTCTAAGCAATATAAATATCTTCTTCTTCTTCTTCTTCTGTATTCATTCGCTCGCCTCTGGCTCGCGATGGATTTCTTTCCCCCCGAGATGGAGTTATACTGATTCTCGAATTGCTTCGGTCCCTGAACTTCCCTCGCTCGACACCCCCCTTTCTCTGCTCGTTCGGTGCCCTTACGGGATGCGTCCACCGTTCACCCCTCGCCAAAATAACGGCTACTCTCGAAAGCCGTCTTCGCCCCTCCTTATTTTCACTCATCGCACGAGTGATCCCACACGTCGGGTACGCACACTGTCAGTAATCTCCAGTCAACGAGAACCTACTGCCAAAGCGCTCGACAGCCCGCGAAGTTAGCGACCCTTCGGTCGCGAAACTATCGTCAAATTTTTTACCCGAGGTCCCGTGACCTTACCGCTCTCTATCGGCCTTAACCAGGCAACCCATTCTTACCCGAGGCGGCCCGCTCCCCTCACCCCAACCCAACCGGTCTCCGAGACCACCCCTCAATACAATACGGTCGGCACTTTCGATTGCGACCCCCATACATACTGAGTCTCAGACTCAACCCTTTTTGCATGTCCCCTCCAGAGGACACTACTTCAAATACGACTCGGGCACAGTCTTTAGCCGTTGCTCCTGGGACCGACGACCCCACCCATTCTTACCTGACCTACCGGTCACCACTCCTCAATTCCTCGCTGCCTGACAAGCAGACGCCCGAGGACCCACATTCGACCCACCCCCCCTCGCTTTCACACCTGACGCTGTTGCGGTTGGCCTTTCCTGCCTTCGTGCGCGTGGTTTCCCAGTCCTGTTAAGGTTCGTCCACAGATATGACACCGGGAACGTTGGTAATGATATCGTTTCGATTGAACGCCATGTTTAGGATTGTGCTCGCTAATGCAGTTGACGGAGAAGTTTGGGGTTCTTACTTATTTACTACGGGGAGGTTTCTTTATTGTCGCTTAGATTCTGCTTACCTGTACCACTTGTTATTCGCGCCCTTTTCGTGCGCTGTTTCTCTCTTTTATTATGTACGTAGTTCTCGTAGCTGCGGTAGTTAGTTTTTGTACTTTGTTTTCGTCTTCGGGTTAGTCGGTGGAGGTTGTAGTCGGGTAGTTAGGTGTGCGATAAGCTTCGGCTTCTAAGCAATATAAGTTTCTTCTTCTTCTTCTTCTGTATTCATTCGCTCGCCTCTGGCTCCCGATGGATTTCTTTTCCCCCGAGATGGAGTTATTCTGATTCTCGAATTGCTTCGGACCCTGAACTTCCCTCGCTCGACACCCCGCTCTCTTTGTTCGTTCGGTGCCCTTACGGGATGCGTCCACCGTTCACCCCTCGCCAAATCAGCGGCTACTCTCGAAAGCTGCCTTCGCCCCTCCTTACTTTCACTCATCGCACGAGTGATCCCACACGTCGGGTACGCACACTGTCAGTAATCTCTAGTCAGCGAGAACCTACTGCCAAAGCGCTCGACAGCCCGCGAAGTTAGCGACCTCTCGGTCGCGAAACTATCGTTAAATTTTTACCGAGGTCCCGTGACCTTACCCCTCTTTTTCGGCCTTAACCAGGCAACCCATTCTTAAACCGAGGCGGCCCGCTCCCCTCACCCATTCCTACCGGTCCCCGAGACCACCCCTTAATATAACACGGTCGGCACTTTCGATTGCGACCCCCATACATACCGAGGCGGCCTGCTCCCCTCACCCCCAAAACTTAACCGGTCCCCGAGACCACCCCTCAACACTACGGTCGGCACTCTCGAATGCGACCACAAATACTTATTTGACTTCAGGAAGGTTACCATAATGGCCAGCTTTCGCGCGGTGCCCCCTGCCCACTATAGTCACCACTCCTTACTCCCTCGCTGCCCGACAAGCAGATGCCCGAGGACCTACATTCAATCCACCCCCCTCGCTTTCACCCCTGACGCTGTTGCGGTTGGCCTTTCCTGCCTTCATGCGCGTGGCTCCCCAGTCCTGTTAAGGTTCGTCCACAGATATGACACCGGGAACGTTGGTAATGATATCGTTTCGATTGAACGCCATGTTTAGGATTGTGCTCGCTAATGCAGTTGACGGAGAAGTCTGGGGTTCTTTCTTACTACGGGGAGGTTTCTTTGTTGTTGCTTAGATTCTGCTTACCTGTACCACTTGTTATTCGCGCCCTCTTCGTGCGCTGTTTTTTTTTTTTATTATTATGTACGTAGTTCTCGTAGCTGCGGTAGTTAGTTTTTGTACTTTGTTTTCGTCTTCGGGTTAGTCGGTGGAGGTTGTAGTCGGGTAGTTAGGTGTGCGATAAGCTTCGGCTTCTAAGCAATATAAGTTTCTTCTTCTTCTTCTTCTGTATTCATTCGCTCGCCTCTGGCTCGCGATGGATTTCTTTCCCCCCGAGATGGAGTTATTCTGATTCTCGAATTGCTTCGGACCCTGAACTTCCCTCGCTCGACACCTTCTTTCTTTGTTCGTTCGGTGCCCTTACGGGATGCGTCCACCGTTCACCCCTCGCCAAATCAGCGGCTACTCTCGAAAGCTGCCTTCGCCCCTCCTTACTTTCACTCATCGCACGAGTGATCTCACACGTCGGGTACGCACACTGTCAGTACTCTCTAGTCAGCGAGAATCTACTGCCAAAGCGCTCGACAGTCCGCGATGTTAGCGACCCTTCGGTCGCGAAACTATCGTCAAATTTTTTACCCGAGGTCCCGTGACCTTACCCCTCCTTTTCGGCCTTAACCAGGCAACCCATTCTTAACCGAGGCGGCCCGCTCCCCTCACCCATTCCTACCGGTCCCCGAGACCACCCCTCAACACAATACGGTCGGCACTTTCGATTGCCACCCCCATACATACTGAGTCTCAGACTCACCCCCCTTTGCACGTCCCCTCCAGAGGACTCCACTTCAAATACGACTCGGGCACAGTCTTTAGCCGTTGCTCCTGGGACCGACGACCCCACCAATTTTTACCCGACCTACCGGTCGCCACTCCTCAATTCCTCGCTGCGTAACGACCAGATGCCCGAGGACCCACTCTTACCCATCCCCCTAGCTTTCACCCTGACGTTGTTGCGGTTGGCCTTTCCTGCCTTCGTGCGCGTGGTTTCCCAGTCCTGTTAAGGTTCGTCCACAGATATGACACCAGGGACGTTGGTAATGATACCGTTTCGGTTGAACACCATGTTTAGGATTGTGCTCGCTAATGCAGTTGACGGAGAAGTTTGGGGTTCTTTCTTACTGCGGGAAGGTTTCTTTGTTGTCGCTTAGATTCTGCTTACCTGTACCACTTGTTATTCGCGCCCTCTTCGTGTGCTGTTTTTCTCATTATGTACGTAGTCCTCGTAGCTGCGGTAGTTAGTTTTTGTACTTCGTTTTTGTGTTCGGGTTAGTCGGTGGAGGTTGTAGTCGGGTAGTTAGGTGTGCGATAAGCTTCGGCTTCTAAGCAATATAAGATTCTCTCTCTCTCTCTCTCTCTGTATTCATTCTACGAATATTACTTTGTTCTATACTACGTCATAGGGTTCATCCTGATTCTTTGATCAGGAATACCGTCCCATAGTCCATAGTCCTGACACCTTTATACTACATCTCGTCTTCGGTTGTATTCCTTGGCATCACAGCCCATCATCCATAGTCCCCGTGTGTGAGGGGTGCGTACCAGATCACAAGAGTACACTACGCAGAGCTCAGAGTTCGGCTAACAGCTACAAAGGTAGAAGTCTCCAAGGTCTCTTCAGTGAACGTCGAGTATGAACCTCCTTGATCCGATACGGGCCCCGCGAGCTACGTTATCAACAAAGATTCACTAGAGTTAGCGGAGGGTATTCGACCGTCTTCGACGTAATAGTTCAGGTAGAGTACGAAGTCACGATAGAGTAAGTATTTCAAAAGTATAGTCAAATAAAGTTGTAACTCGCGTATCAACGATTTATATTGTTAAGACTCTGATTTCGCCGATGATGGTTTGGCTAGTCAGTGAATGACACAGTATTTATATCCCTCGCTTATGTCTCGAGGACCCAGTCTACTAATAATACAGAATACACTCGGGGCCTGCCCGAGACCCTGAAAAACAACCAAGAACATTTAACTCCTAAGTCCGTAACCCAAACTCCTAAGCCCGCTAAAACCGCTCAACCTATTTACCCATTCTAATGCACGTTTCCCTTTCGATGTTTCCTCTCCATCGGCCGTCTGGTGGATAATCGTCAGCATCGGCTACTCGTAGGTCTCGGACGACAAGGCTACCTACTCAGGCCTCTTCCCACATCGCTTTCCCACATAGCAGAGTCCTCTCATGCCCACAGGTACCGCCGATAGGTACTCGGTCGGCTGGTAGCTTGCGCCGATTCGCTCCGAGTGATCCGATCTTCGATCCGATTGCTTCCAGCTGTCCCTCATATATCCACCGGTCCAAAAGCACTCCCCTCCGGCGGTGTGACGCTCCAGGGGTTATTATTGGGGTCGAAAACGTGTTTTTTAACTAGGGAAACCGCAACTCCGCATTTGGTCGCATATCGATCGCACCGCACCTCGTGGGTGCGAACCGGAGTTGATATTGGTATTAGAGGGTATTAGGGTATCTACTTAGCTTTTCTTCTACTCCCGTTAATGCTTAGCATGCCCGTAACAGCTTACCCCCCTTCCAGGGTGTCACGTCTCGGGACATCTTCTGACAGACTATGGTTCCAGTAAACCTGCTCCACATATCACCCGCGGTGTCTGTGGAGGGGAAGGACTTAGCCCCGTGGGGTACCTCTATAGTCTCAGGCGTTGGTCCTTCACGGCCTTGGGGTTCCTTCGATGAAAGTCGCGGACTAGATCAAGTACCTCCTCATTCATAGCGTCCAAGACTTGGTACGTGCAGTCGCTCATCGAATAGCCCCGCCATTTCACCAGGTATTCCACTAATCCTCTTCTGCTCTTCCAGCTTCCCACAATACTTTCTACTTCGTACAGAACCTCTCCTTCCTTATCGACCTCTTTGGGAGTCGGGGGACGTTGTTCGCGGCCTGGAATACTGCTTTGTCGGTAATGTTCCAAGAGCTCAATGTGGAACACATTATGGATTTTGACTTGTGGTGGCAGTTCCAATTCGCAGGCTCGTTTCCCGGCTACATCAGCAAACCCGCAACCTCCGCCAGACGCTCTGGACGCTCGAGGCGCCCAGGGCGCTCGGTAGACAAACTGCCTCTCCAGAGAAGCAGCAGAGCGTTCCTGGCGCTCCCTGGCGCATAGCATTCCGCTCTGGCGCGCACTAGGCTACTCGCGCGCCCTGGCGCGCACTAGCCCTCCCAACGCGCCCCGACAGTGATACGCTTACCCCGACGGAATGCTCTCTCGCCTGACGCCCTCTCGACGGAATGTTCTCTCGCCTGAGACTACTACCTATCTCCTGGACGCTCCTGGAGCTCTCGCGACGCCTCAGGAAGCGTTTTGTCCGATCCTGAACCTCTCTGAGGACTCCTGGGCATATCGCTAATGCTTCTGGAGCACTCCCGACTGCTCCAGTGGCGTCCGACGCACCGCATTTTACCTTTCAGCGCCATGTTTTTACCAGGCATACTACTCTTTGCTTTAGTAGGCACTGCTTTGCAGAGCATCCAAAACCGTGATTCTATTACTAAATACTAACACTACAAGCGTGTTGAAATCGCCAATCGAATATAATACAGGTATATAGGTATCTCTCCAAAGCACTCGCCGCTGCTCTCCAAAGCACTCGCCATTGCGCTCCAAAGCACTCGCCGGTGCCCTACAGATCCTTTTCCTCCTCCCCTCCCTCGCGATCCTCATCTTCATCCTCCTCGCCTTCCTCTTCCGCTTCAATGCCCCGAAGTTGAGCCTGAACCACCTCTTCCTGGCCGTCACCGTTGTCGGAGATATCCCCTGGAGCACTCGGGGGTACTCTCCGAGCATTCCGGAATGCCGCAAGATCCGCCGCTAACGCTTCGTCGTCCTCGCTAAATCCATCTTCCGGTATCACTTCAATAGTGATACCCTTCTTCTCTCGTATCTATCAAGGTTAGCCTCCATATGCAGAAGAGCACTCCGCCATTGTAGCACCCATCTATAGCATACCTTCTCCCGGAGGTTATCCTTGATCACCTCCAACGTTGCCTCCTGATTCTGCCTACTCCTCCCCTTCCATGTGTTGCTCATCCTGTTGAACGTTTCTACTCGTGTGCAATGTCAGCGCGCGAATCCACTATAGCTCTGGAAGCATCTGTTACTGCTCTCAAAGCACTCGCTATAGCTGTAAGGGGATCAGGGATGCTTACTGACAACACTCTCATTCTGTGACTGGAAATGGTCAGGCTTCACGTATGTTCCCGTTGACCATGCCCGAATGCCATGCCAAATTGCAGTGGATATCAGGCAAATAAATGTAGGGGTAATCCGCTCTAGGAACTCGGGGTCTTTTACCGCTCGCATCCTGACCCCATCAAAGTATTTATAGTACAATATGTCGATAATCTCTGGCGCAAGAAACCGTAGACGGTAGGTCTAGTATCTGTTAGCAGCGTTCGCGAGTGCTCTCCAAGCATTCCGGGTGTCCAGGTGCTCTCCGAGCATTGACACCCGAGTGCTCTCTGGTCATTGACACCCGAGTGCTCTCTTAGCACCCCCGGGTGCTCTCTAGGGATTGATCATACCTCGTAATGCTGCGCAGGGCTCAAGAAGCGATCATTCTTTAAAAGATACTCTACTTGAGCAGCCCTCGCCTCAGGACTCGAGAGCTTTCCAAGCCCATAGATGGTCGAATCCGCCAGGCGCCCTTTAACCTCGTGCATCAAATGCGAACGGACTCGGGAGTGTAGACTTCTGACCTATCGTTGTCAATTACACTTCCAGAGCACTCGTCAACGTTTCAAGGGCATTCACCTGTTTGATAACGACCTCGTCCAGATCTACCGCACATCCCACCCTGCGACTGGCAGCTGCCCACATGTTCACTACGAGTACCGAAAGCCTCGCTGCAGGTGGAAAAGGCTCATGTAGAAGAGTGTGGTCCCCGATTAGCGTGCTGCACTCCTTCTCAATCCTCTGAGCTTGCATTGAGAGAACGTTTGCACTCCTCGAGCTAGGTAACAAGGATCTCTGAGATAGGTTGCTCGCATGAATGTTAACAGTGCTCTCAAAGCAGTCGTCAGTGCTATCGGGAATACTACAAACCTCGCTTTCTGCTATAGGAGCATTTCCTTCCCTAATAGACGACGAAAGCTGTGCAATATCGTAGACTCTTGGTTGCGCTTCTGGTAAATATACCTTAGGGCTTGAGGGAATCCGGGGACTGCTCATAGAGCTCTCGCCAACGCCCTCAAAAGGCGGGGAGGAACGATAGGGGCGGTAAGTAGGTGAGGACTCCCCGTATCGAGAGCGCAATGAGGAAAGATCGATATGGCGCGTCGAAGAGCTGTAATCATGATAATAAACAGGTTCAGAAGGCCTAGACTGTGTGGGTATTGGCGGTGCTCTCTGGGATGCATTCTGGCTGGGTGCCGAAGTGGGAGCTGCTCTCCGTACTACCTTTGCACCCGGACATGCTCCCCTCTGAATCGTTAGCGTTTTGTCCTTAACATTAATGGGTGGGATGGAGTCGAACCTGTACCTTATCCACCGACACGTCGGAGGAAGCAATAACCTCCGCTACCGCTCCGGTTGGTCTCCTCCGAGCATTGCCCAGTGCTCTGGCAGTAGTCGGCTGCACTGTACGAGGCCTCTTCCCCGTACTCTGGGATCTCTGCTGAGTGGAGGCTTGAGGTTCTTCCGACTCCTCCGGGTCATCCAGATTCTCCTCAGAGCTCTCCTGGGCGTTCTCTGGGGAGTCATCATACTCCGAGTGGCTGGTATCGGCGGTTTCCTCCACCTCTGGCACATCCTCCTGATGCTCCTGCACTTCAACGCTGTCAGTATTGCCATCGGGGAGATGGAATTCTACCCTTCTAGGGCTGCTTCTTCCAGTGGATGTGTCGGTAGAACACAGAAGCCCTTTACGCGCTATTGGGGCGGTTGTCGACTGACTACTCCGAGTGCGGGCTGGCAGTGGAGTCAATGGTCGGCAAGGCATCTCAGACTCGTCAGTCAGTAAATCTTCATGTTCTTCAGGTCGTCTTGGGAGTCGTGGGCGCTTTGGGGCAAGAGGTGCTGAACCGGAGGAGCGCTTGGTGGGAGCCATTCTGATGGCTAGCAGGAATATCCTCAGTGCTCTAGGAGCACTCGCGGTATCTTTGATTAGAAATCAATTCTTGGCGAGAAAATTTGCGCCGCTAATCAAGAAGAATTTGCACGGCTAATCCTCCTACGGCAGGGATCCGCTCAACCGCATCATTTGTAATCACTCGTTTTACTGCACTTTGCACTTTCTGAAGCAATACCGAGTGCTCTGAGAGCAATCTAGGAGTTTGACTCGACTCTGAAATAAAAGCAATGCAATTACGACACGGAATAATCTAATCTAATCTAATCTCATCTAATCTCATCTAATCTGATCTAATACGACAAAACACATCCATTGATATATGCTCGCAAGACAAAGGAAATCCAAAACATAAAATCGTACAGCACCTCCATCTCAGTAGCACTCGCGAGTGCTCAGAGAGCACTCCATACTGCTATTCAAAAACCCATCAATTCATATATGCTCGCAAGACAAAGGAAATCCAAAACATAAAATCGTACCGCACCTCCTCCATCTCAGTAGCAGTCGCGAGTGCTCAGAGAGCAATCTGTACAGCTTTACAAAGGTTAGTAGTGAGAAATCCGCAGGAAGAGTGGTGAGAGACTTTACCAAAGGAGACTAATGATGCCCACCACCATCACCACCACCACCGCCTCCACCGCCTCCAGCTGGCCCACCACCTCCACCACCACCACCACCACCGCCTCCACCACCGCCTCCAGAAGGTCCACCACCACCACCACCACCACCACCGCCCGGAGGTCCGCCCGGAGGAGGAGGAGGAGGAGGAGGAGGAGGAGGAGGAGGTCCGCCCGGAGGAGGATTACCACCACCACCACCACCACCACCGCCGCCCGGAGGAGGATTACCACCACCACCACCACCACCACCACCACCACCACCGCCCGGAGGAGGATTGCCACCACCACCACCACCACCACCACCGCCTCCAGCAGCAGCCGCGAGTGCGTCAGCAGCTCTCTTGGCTGCTATCCCGGCAGGCGTCCAGATTACTCCCTGTGCAAAGTTTGCGTCAGCAACCCCTACACCCAGAGGATACTTCCTCAGGTATTTGGGGTCTAAGTCGTCGATAGCATCCTGCTGTCTATCGCGACGTCTAACAAGAGTCTGGATTAGCCTTTGATTACTGGCATCAGTTCTGGGCAAATATACCCTCAGTCCTTTAGCATTTATGCGGTGATTTCCCTCCTCGTAATCAGAGTCCTCTGCTGGAATATCGATCGTGGTGTAATCGTCTTCCTCGATATGAGGGAATGCTCGTGTCAGCGGCGGTGTTTCAGCACCACCCAAATTAGCACCCGCGCCCACTCTGTGGAGTACCGCCAGTATCCTCCGAGGCCTGCCAACGCTATTCTTCAACCAACCCTCGACCTCTTCCGAATCAGTGATCTGCACCTCCATCGGCCGAACAGGAGGATTGGATGCCGGTGGAATGTTATCGAGTGCTCCCCAGATACTCCTGATTGCTCTGCCGGGTGGGGTGTGCTTCAGGATCAAATTGCAGAGCCCTGGAAACGTTATCTTGGTCAGAACTCCAATGAACGAATTCTGATTTCGTCGATGGTTCCAGTCATAGATAGGGGGCGGGGCAACCCTGGAGAATGCTCGTAGAGCATCCGGGTCTACCACCGTAACCATTATGGAAGGTCTATCGAGATCTGCGGACACTGGGTCCCGTTTACGCTTCTTAGAGCGTTGGGCGGGCAGACCACCATCCTCATCATCATCGCTATCGTCAGCAACTTCTTTATACTCGCGATTTCCCTGCCCCCTCGATAGCTTTTCCTTCTGCCCAACATCACCGATGAGTCACTTCAAAGCGTGCGCGAGTGCTCTGCGGGTTGCGGAATCGCCTCCGTTCCACATAGGCAGGAAACTACTGAGAGGGCGTATGTTCAACACATGGAGGCATAGAGCATTGAACGCTGCTGCTCCGGAAACGGTTTTGTTGACCCAACCGGTGTTCTGCATCTCCGCTTTGAGGCTGTTGCGGATGTTAGTGTACAATTTAGGGAGGTTGATCAAACCTAAAGCCATCTTTGCTTTGTTTGCCTCAGTCATTCTGCTGGTGTATCGGGCTTGAGAGATTGGGGATGATGCTTCTGGAGCACTGGCGTATGCTACCTGAGCACGCGGGGGAGTTTCTGGGGCACGAGGGGGAGTTTCTGGGGCACGATCTCTGCGGCTTTGCCTCTGCTCTGCCGGTGGAGGGGAACTAGGTATTGGTAGCCGACGGCGACCTCGGGATTGAGAGCTCTGTGAAGCACTGGCGACTGCTTCTGGAGCAGGGGCACCAATTGGGAGTACGGTTCTACGGACAGGGCCCGACGGTTGTGGCGGCGAGCTGCCCAATTCTGGGGAAGTGCTGGAGACTCGTTGAAGTGCTCGTCCTCTTTGGGGTTTTGGGCCTGCTGCTGGGCCTGCTGCTGTCCCTGCTGCTGGTCGCTTTGCGGAGTGTGTTGCTGGGCCTGCTGGGCCTGCTGCTGTGCGTGCTGCTGAGCGCTTTGCGGAGTGTGTTGCTGGGCCTGCTGGGCCTGCTGCTGTGCCTGCTGCGGAACCTTCGCTGTCGGACTCGGCTTCAGATTGCACTGATTCCCACTCTTTTGGGAAGAGTCTCGAGTGCCGAGTGGGCGGTGACGAGTGCTGAGGGGGCGGTGACGAGTGCTGTCGGGAGCTTGAAACCACTCGGGGATGCTTCCGGGAAGACGACGACTGCGGCGGGGGTGTCTCTTCTATCTCTTCTGGGATAGGCTGGAGGCTTTTCTGCTCTTTGCGAGACGAGGAAGGGGAGGACTTCTCGTTCTTCTTCTGCT